CTTGGTTAAGGAAACCCTGACACTGACTCGGCTCACCCCCAAGTGCTGTGGAAGGGGGGCTGAACCAGTCATACCTCTGGGCAACGCAGGTGCAGCAGCAGATGCAGAGGTAGGTGCAACAACCGGAGCAGCAGCGGGAGCGACCACAGGAGTGACAACCAGCCTAATTGCACCAGGAGCAAGGTGCGCTGTGCGTGCAAGCAGCGTCTGCAACGCCTGAGCGAACTGATCCAACAAGAGATCCTGCTGATCAAGTCTGGCAACCAACATAAGGAGCGAGGGCGTACCTGCACCGTCAGGATTCATGGCATTCATGTAGTGTCAGGGAGCGAGGAGCCAGACACACAAGGAGGTGCAATTAAAGGTAGGTTTATTTACACAGAAACAAGGCAAAAGTCTATGCAAGTCCGACAGCAACAGCGGATGACTTGGTAGGACAGAAGTTCTCATGCCGAGGTCATCTTCCAGGATAATCAAGTCGAGAACCAGCGGGAATCGTAGCCAAAGCTGGGGTCAGAAGCCAGGAAGAATGGTCGCCAGAGCCGGGGTCAGAAGACAGGAAGAATGGTTGCCAGAGCCGGGGTCAGAAGCCAGGAGGAGTCTTAGCTAAAGCCGAGTCGGTATCCAGGAGAGCAAAGAGTTAACCGAACAGGAGCTTGCTGCTGTGCAACAGACAGGACATGAATGCAATGGACAACTGCAAACAGCAGACTTAAATGTGATGAGCGGCCAACTCCTGGGAGGAGCCGCAGAGGGCTGAAAGCATAAAGGATCCCACAATGCTTTGCAGACCTAAGATGGATGCCAGCACATGGAGCCGCACAAGCCCTGAGGAAAGGTAGGACCTTGATAAGTGTCCATTGGTTTTAGCTGTTATTAAATCATTTGTCAGTTTTAGGTTTCTGTGAAGTGTTGGGGGGAAAAATCCAGACTGAAGGGGATCAGGAAGGTTATTCTTAATGAGGTGGTCAACAGTTGGTTGTGGACCAGGTGTTCAAGGAGTTTGGAGGAAAAAGGGGAACAAGGAGATGGGCATAGCTTTTTAAGATTGGTGGGGTCCAAGGAAGGCTTTCTAAGTATAGGGGTAACTAGTGTACAGTGCCTTGAAAATGTATACATAACCTTTGAAATTTTCTACATTTTGTCATGTTACAACCAAAAATGTAAATGTATTTTATGTGATAGACCAACAGAAAGTGGCTGATAATTGTGAAGTGGGAGGAAAATGATAAATGATTTTCCAATTTTTTTACAAATAAATATCTGAAAAGTGTGGTGTACATTTTTATTCAGCCACCTTTACTCTGATACCCCTAACTAAAAATCTAGAGGAACCAATTGCCTTCAGCAGTCACCTAAATAGTAACTAGAGTCCACCTGTGTGTAATATGATCTCAGTATAAATATAGCTGTCCTGTGAAGCCCTCAGAGGTTTGTTAGAAAACATTAGTGAACAAGCAGCATCATGAAGGCCAAGGAGCACACCAGACAGGTCATGGATAAAGTTGTGGAGAAGTTTAAAGCAGAATTAGGTTATAAAAAAATATCCCAAGCTTTGAACATCCCATGGAGCACTGTTCAACCATCATCCAAAAATGGAAAGAGTATGGCACAACTGCAAACCTACCAAAGCATGTCCATCCACCTAAATTGTCAGGCCAGCAAGGAGAGCATTAATCAGAGAAGCAGCAAAGAGCCCCATGGTAACTCTGGAGGAGCTGCAGAGATCCTCAGCTTAGCTGGGAGAATCTGTCCACAGGACAACTATTAGTCGTGCACTCCACAAATCTGGCCTTTATGGAATAGTGGCAAAAGGAAGCCATTGTTGAAGGAAAGCCATAACAACTCCTGTTTGCAAGAAACCATGTGGGGGACACAGCAAACATGTTGAAGAAGGTGCTCTGGTCAGATGAGACCAAAATTTAACTTTTTGACCTAAAAGCAAACCGCTATGTGTTTCCGCTAGGCAGAAAGCAAACACTGCACATCACCCTGAACACACCATCCCCACCTTGAAAAATGGTGGTGACAGCATCATGTTGTGGGGATGCTTTTCTTCAGTAGGGTCAGGAAAGCTGGTCAGAGTTGATGGTAAGATGGATGGAGCCAAATACAGGGCAACCTTAAAAGAAAACCTGTTAAGAGTCTGCAAAAGACGAGACTGAAGCGGAGGTTCACCTTCCAGCAGGACAACGACCCTAAACATACAGCCAGAGCTACAATGGAATGGTTTAGATCAAAGCATACTCATGTGTTAGAATGGCCCAGTCAAAGTCCAGACCTAAATCCAATTGAGAATCTGTTGCAAGACTTGAAAATTGCTGTTCACAGACGCTCTCCATAAGCTGAGAGAGCTTGAGCTATTTTAAAAAAACGAATCGGCAAAATTTCACTCTCTAGATGCAAAGCTGGTAGACACATCCCCAAAACGAATTGCAGCTGTAATTGCAGTGAAAAGTGGTTCTATTGACTCAGGGGGGCTAAATACAAATGCACGACACACTTTTCAGATATTTAATTGTAAAAAATGTTGAAAACCATTTATCATTTTCCTTCCACTTCACAATTATGTGCCACTTTGTGTTGGTCTATCACATAAAATCCCAATAAAATACATTTACGTTTTTGGTTGTAACATGACAAAATGTGGAAAATGTCAAGGGGTATGAATACTTTTTCAAGGCACTGTATGTTTTAGAGTGCTGTGGAAGATAATAGAAGAGAGGGAGAAATTGAAGATGTGAGTTAGAGAGTGTAGGATAAAGCCAAAGGGTGACTGCAGTATTTGAGAGGGAATAGGGTCCAGGGGACAGGTGGATAGGTGGGCATTAGAAAAAAAGTTTAGCAACCTCGTTTATAGTAGCAGAGCTGAATAAGGGAAGTGTTGAGTGTACCGGTGGACATGGGGTGGTAAGTGGGGTGGATATCTGTAGAGCAGAGATTTAATCACAAATTGTATCAATCTTATTTTGAAGTGACTGGCAATTTCCTGGGCAGTGAGTGGGTTAGTGAATAAGGTGGTGGGAGACGAAATAGAGAGTTAAAGGTAGAGAAAAGTTGACGGGGACTGGATGAGAAGGTGTTAATGAGAGTGATAAAATAGGTCTGCTTGGCAGAGTTGAGGCAAAAACTGTATTTTTGGAGGGCAGTTTTATATTGGTTGAAGTCTTTGTGAGATTTAGTCTTATGCCACAGACACTCAAAAGCAGAGCTGTGTGCCGGTGTCGTCTGTTTGCCAGGGTGTGGGGGTCAGGGATTGATTCTGTGTGTAATGAGAGGGGGAGTCTGTCCAGGGTGCAGGACAGAGATCTATTATAGACAGAAGTGACAAAGATTTCTATGGGTAATTGTTAGGTGGTTGGAGGCAGAGGTGGTGGAAGACAGGGAAAGAGTGAAACTAATAAGGTGGTGATTAGAGAGAGGAAAAGGATTGTTGGAGAGGCTGGATGGAGTGCATAGGTAGGAGAATACAGGGTAGAGGATGTTGCTCTTAGAGTAAGTAGAACCATGTACCCATTGCTTCAGGTCAAATGAGGAGGTTAGACTAAGAGGTTTAGAAGTAGCAGGAGTGTTAGTATTAAGAGGGATGTTGAAGTCGCCAAGAATTATTGTTGGAATTTCAGAAGAGAAAAAGTAGGGTAGCCAAGCAGAGAAGTCATCAAGGAAAGTTGTTTGATCTGCAGTTAATATGCTGCACATGTTATCAGTTATGACACCAGCCATTTGATGGCTTGACAGTTCAGTTGAATGCACATGCAACTGACAATACAGTATCTTCCATGGCATGCCTTACTGTTTTGGGAAACAGTTAAATTAATGAATTTAGTGCTTCTTTAAAGGGTAACTCAACTTTTGTAAAAGAAAATGGCAAACAAAAACAATTTAGCACTCAAGTACAATTGCTACACAAGCCAACTTGTAATTTAATATTAATAAAAATTAGCTCTCCTTTTCAATCTGTAGCTGTTGTTACGTTATGTAAAATTCAATACATTATGGAAACCTGGAGGTCTTCTATACACAATTAGCGCACAGAACTTCCCCAGAAATGTAATTTCCTGCTTGTGTGATTGACTCACTGATTTTCCCAGAAGTCTGCACGAAGATACAAGTCAAATCCTCTGCAAAAGGAATTATGCTTTTGGAAAGATACTCCCTAAGGGTTAATTACTTAAAGGAATGCAAAAACTGCTATTTTCCCTAGAACAGCGCAAGTGCATCAGCTGATTTGAAAGAATACAAACAGTCCCATTGGGTAATGAGCCTTTCAAGAACATAGTGGAACATACAGCTTTTTTCTTAGGAACAGAAACAGATAGGACTTTGCTACGAAGTTTGTTAAAATCCTTGCAATGTACATAGACCACCCAGAGGGGATTGTTTTTTTTTTCACAACAAAAGTAGAGTTACTCTTTAAGTCAGTGCCCAGTTCAACAAGCTGCAAGCTAAAGTTGGGCATACTTAAAGTGGAACTTCACTCTCTCTATCATTGGCTGTTGCTAATTCTTATGCTGCTAGCATTAGTAAATGGACAGGAAAGTATATCATATATACTTGTTTTAAAACTTTTGTTTTACATTTCTTCAGTTACTTCCTGGTTTCCATGCCAAGGCAAATTATGTGATACATCCCATGAGTCTTCAGGAGGGGAAGGTTCTCAGCTCAGCCAATGCCTGAGTTAAGGGCAGATGGATTCCAGGAAGTAAATACAACATGAATCATCTGCCCTTACTCAAGACGGCCACTGCCAGAAATGCCAGGGGTGTTTTTCAAAATGATCTCTCAGCAAAATAAAGCATGGAGACATGGATGGATGGGGGAGTTTGTTTTGAATATTAACAATTAATTAATTAGTATTTTTGGTTTGTGGTGCTCAGATGCAGTGCAGTGCAGATCCACTTTAATTATCCTATAAAAGGCTCCTACAGCTCACAACAATGGATGCACTGTTTGTTTAGATATTGAAATTGTATCCATGATTATGAATGGTGAAAAACCTGCTAAAAGAACATGTGCAGTGCTGGTACCTGCTGAGATAAAGCAACCATAAAAACCACAGCCCACACCGACATCAAACTGTATCCTCCCATCACTAGAGCCCGACGGCCAACACGGTCAATAAATAAAGTCTGAAAAATAATTTACAGACAAAAATAAGCAAATACAAATAAAATGGCACAAACACTAGATAAATATTTTCATAGGTACACCATAAGTTATTATAACATGCCATAGACCTGAATAGCATAAAAATTATTTATTGGTAAAATCCAATTATTTTCTAAGAATACTTACACAAGTGAATGAAGTAATGAGCTCACAGCTACCTGTGCCAATAACAACATAAGGGATTTTCTCCGGAGGTATCCCAGCTTCATTAAATATGTAGGATGCATAAAAATACATCTGGGAAGAAAAAACAAGGACATGACAACTAACTTGGGAGAAAGGATAAATTGTTTTTTTTTTTGTTTTTTTTTAAATGAAGATAGGAAAGGAGGGATAAAGTTAATTCTGGCAAATAACATAAACATAGCTAATAGTAGTTATTCACATTCAAAATGACATGTTCTGGAATTTTAAAGAGGTTTTGTTACCCATCTAAGCAGCTTCTTCAAATCCAAACACTACAAGCTATTCCATCACCTTGATAAACAGGAACATTTACAGACAACATACACATAAGGCCTGATTTACTAAACCTTATGTGCGTACACCTGCAAATTGTATTATCAAAGTATTTACGTAACCTACTATGCGTGCACACACACATGCCTAGCATATATATGAACTATCTGGCAAGTGCAGTGTGCTATGTATGTTCTAGTGTCAGAGTAAATAGCAGCTAATGCAGGCCATAGATGGGTCGAAAATCGGCCGATTTTTCTTTTAAAAAAAACGAACAATCGGTCGTTCAAGTGGCTGACGTTACCACCAATGGTAAAAAAAAATCGGCCGATTTTCATCCCGTCTACAGCCGGCAAAAAGTGTCCCTGCAGAGAGCTCTGCTATTTCTGACAGTTCTCTGACAGTTCCTTGACATTTACAGCGGTTGCAACATTGTATCTATTTGTTTCCATTTAGGATACAGATGTTTTTATTCGGAAACAAATAGATACAATGTTGCAACCACTGTAAATGTCAAGGAACTGTCAGAGAACTGTCAAAGAAATAGCGGAGCTCTCTGCAGAGACACTTTTTGCTGGACTGGAATTCCTCTTATTTTCATCCTACTTCTTCTTCTTTTTCATCCTCAGCCTCTTCTTCTTCATCCTCATCCTCTTCTTCTTATTCTTCTTCATCCTCATCCTCTTCTTCTTCATCATCATCCTCATCCTCTTCTTCCTCATCCTCTTCTTCTTCTTCATCCTCTTCTTCTTCATCATCCTCATCCTCTTCTTCTTCTTCTTCTTCTTCTTCTTCTTCCTTTCTTCTTCTTCATCCTCTTCTTCTTCATCCTCATCCTCTTCTTCTTCATCATCCTCATCCTCTTCTTCTTCATCCTCATCCTCTTCTTCATCCTCATCCTCCTCCTTCTTCTTCATCCTCATCCTCTTCTTCTTCATCATCCTCTTCATCCTCATCTTCTTCTTCATCCTCATCCTCTTCTTCCTCATCCTCTTCTTCTTCTTCTTCCTCATCCTCTTCTTCATCCTCATCCTCTTCTTCTTCTTCATCATCATCATCCTCATCCTCTTCTTCTTCATCCTCATCCTCTTCTTCTTCTTCTTCATCCTCTTCTTCTTATTATTCATCCTCATCCTCTTCTTCTTCTTCTTCCTCATCTTCTTCTTCATCCTCATCCTCTTCTTCTTCTTCTTCTTCATCCTCTTCTTCTTCATCCTCATCCTCTTCTTCTTCCTCCTCATCTTCTTCATCCTCTTCTTCATCCTCTTCTTCTTCATCATCATCCTCATCCTCTTCTTCATCATCATCCTCTTCTTCTTCATCCGCATCCTCTTCTTCTTCTTCTTCTTCCTCATCCTCTTCTTCTTCTTCTTCCTCATCCTCTTCTTCATCCTCATCTTCTTCCTCATCCTCTTCTTCATCCTCTTCTTCTTCCTCTTCATCCTCTTCTTCATCCTCTTCCTCTTCTTCTTTTTCTTCTTTTTGTCTTCCTCTTGCAGGTCACTGCTCATGCGCAGATTTTTTATCGGTAACAAATCGGCCGATTAGCCCATTAATGCCGCGAAAATCGGCCGATTTTTTTTCAACTTTACCGAAAAAAAAAAAAACGGCCAAAATCCCGAAAAACGGCCGACCAAATAGCCCACTAACGATCCGAAAATCGGCCGATTTTATTTTCGGCCGAAAAATCGGCCGATTTTCGACCCATCTATGGCCTGCATAAGTCACTATGGGGGTTATTTACTAAAACCGGAGAGTGCAAAATCTGGTGCAGCTCTGCACAGACACCAATCAGCTTCCAGGTTTTATTGCCAAAGCTAAATTGAACAAGCTGAAGTTAGAAGATGACTGGATACCATGCACAGCTGATACTGAGTGTACTCGTTTTACTAAATCCCCCCCTATGTGCCTAACATGTAAAAGTGATTTTCTCTAATGTTTTCGAGCCCTGCAACTGTTAGTATTTTTAAATGAGCATACCATGGGGAATTAAAACTGCAACAAGTGTGCAGAGCTGCCATGAAAAAGACAGTAAAAATCTGTTTTTAAAAAAGTCAAATGACCTAGGGGTAAATGGGGGTGCTGTACTGCTTATGCATGTATCTTTGTGCGTATTTGCATTAAAGCACCGTCCGATGTATAAAATTCCATATGCTGATATTTGGAATAGAGATTCCAGTGATAAGTACCTGTACATAAGCTATATTTTTCTGATGACAGCATAGCGTTCGGCTCTTTTGTACTTGCCAGATAGCCTGACGAATGCACATTTTATTACTTAGTGAGTTGGTCACATTTTTTTAAATTTCAATTCAATTAATTGTAGGTAAAATATTGAAGAATACATTCTATACTACACTTTTTAGGAATAGAATGCATAATTTGGATGTCGATGGCAAATTAGGACCACATCATACACTGTGAACATCAGCTAGATAGGATCAGGAATCACAAATGCTATGTGTGTACATCCGCACGTTTGTAGGCCTGCACTGAAAGTACCATAACAATTTATGCCTGTTCTTCTGTAAACGGTACCAAGGAGCATTCTTCATTGGCAGCGCCATCACCTCAATATTTTTGAGCCAGTCATTGAATCTTTAGGAAATTAAAGTCCATACTGTCTGATAGAGGCTGTGTACATAATAACACTATAATACTAAAATCCTGTGCTCAGTAGAAAACTAATAAAACTGGGGAAAAAAAGTGGGAAACTGCCTGCAGACAATATCCTCATACAAGATATAAGAATACTGCTCTCAGAAAAATGCTTTCTGTCCTTTAAAATAATGCTATCATTAAAAAATCCAACAGGTCCCATATACAGAAAAGGTGAATCAACATGGAACTTAAGCCTTGCCAATATTCACTCAATAACTTCTCCCATTACTTCCATTCCACCGCCATGAGAAATGAATACTTTACTGTTTATGGGATGTTTTGAGCTTTTTTATGAAATTAAATTTTCATTGAACTTATTGGATTTGCACCCTAATTACGTGTATGCATGGAATATGTTTTTTTGCACATGTAAAAATATCTAAAAGGACAGCATAGCATTTTGATCTTTTGCTCATCATAACCCAAATACAGTAGGCAACATATTCACCTTAGGTATGTTTTCAGATACTGTATAGCAATTATGAACACATACAGATATTCTTACAGTGTATGTAGTTCATACACTGCATGTTTCAGTTTACACATACATAGTGAATAGAATGGTGTCAAAAAGACTAAAAGATGGCACGTGATCACGTAAACCAGGAGATTTAATCACACATTTTGACTTACTGAATCATTTCCACACAGTTGCATAGCACTGCTGAGCACTACTATAGTAAGAACCTGCCGTCGTAGTAATGGATCCTGGACTAGATTAAAAAGATTCTTTGGTTTTTGACCTTTGATGGCTGCCTGCTCTGCCAGCATCTCCTCCATCTCACTGCTAAGATTGCAGTGCCCACGTAGCCGCTGTAATGCTGTAAAGAAATAAAATTCAATAAGCAGTACCTCAAATATGTGGCAGAAGTTTATTTTCTGAAGATCCTAGCAGTTAATGAAGAGTGTCCACTCTTCCATACTCACCAGAGACACAGGAATCCCTGTCCTCCAAATCTATTAACAAGTATCGAGGACTCTCTGGAAGCCATGGAAGAACTAGAACTTGAAGAATACCAGGAATTGCATTGCTTGCTAATAGGAGAGGCCAAGTCTCTTCACTGCCAAGTATCTCACTAAGAAATGAAACACAAGACAATTATATCTTAGGGATGCCAGGGGTGATATCACTCTCACCAAGATCTAGCTTTTCTTCTGCCCAATTAGAAGTTCCCAGAATAATATCAAAGAATAAAAGAATTCAACAAGGAGAGTAAGTCTGCAACATAAAAGTGGTGCTGTTATGCAGACCTAAACACACAAATGAAAAGCTTGAGCCACTGTGGTCCTCAAAAGAAAATACAATTAGATTAAGATTTAGTTTCAGCTAAAATATCATTTTTGGGTGCACTGAACCATTAATTATTGTTTACCTGCCTCCCGCCCGCCATATAAGGAAATGACGGGCGCAAGGTGGTTCTCTCGTTCTGGCAGGATGTCATATGACGTCCTCCCACTCTAACCGCGCATGTGCGACTCAGGGGGCGTGCAACACGCTGATCGGTGGTGTGCTGTGTCCCTCGGACACAGCAGATCACTGATCAATGGAAAGAGCCGAAGACGTCGGCTCGGTCATGTGATCAGCTGTGTCCAATCACAGGTGATCGCATGTAAATAAGGAAATGCCGCTTATCGACATTTCTCTCCTCACGAGCTGTCACACTGACAGCTTGAGAGGAGAGCCGGTAATTGGCATTCCTCAGAGGGACATGTACACTGATCATCAGGGCACTGATGATCAGTGTGCCCTGATGATCAGTGTAGCCCCCGCAGTGCCACCTGTCAGTGTCCATCAATGCCAACTGTCAGTGCTCATCAATACCACCTGCCAGTGCCCATCAGTGCCACATCAATGCCAAATATCTGTGCCTACCAGTGCATATCAATGCCACATATCAGTGCCCATCTGAGCTGCCTTTCAGTGCCACCTATCAGTGCCACCTATCAATGCCAGTCAGTGCCACCTATCAGTGCTGCCAGTCAGTGCCGCTTATCAGTGCCAGTCAGTGCCGCCTATCAGCGCACGTCAGTGCCACCTATCAGTGCCGATCAGTGCTGCCTATCAGTGCCACCTAACAGTGCCAGTCAGTGCCACCAAACAGTGCCAGTCAGTGCCGCCTATCAGTGCCAGTCAGTGCCGCCTATCAGTGCCACCTATCAGTGCTGCCTATCAGTGCCATATATGAGTGCTGCCTTTCAATGCCCATCAGTGCTATCTACCAGTGCCTCCTCATCAGTGCCCATCAGTGCAGTCTATCAGTGCCCATCACTGCAGCCTCATTAGCGCACATCTGTGAAGGAGAAAAATCACTTATTTACAAAATTTTATAACAAAAACTAAGAAAAAACTTTTTTTTTTTCAAAATTTTCAGTTGTTTTTGGTTTGTTTAGCAAAAAATAAAAAACCCAGAGGTGATTAAATACTACCAAAGGAAAGCTCTATCTGTCTCAAAAAAATGATAAAAATGTCATATGGGTACAGTGTTGCATGACCGCGCAACTGTCATTCAAAGTGTGACAGCTCTGAAAGCTGAAAATAGGCCTGGGCAGGAAGGGGGTAGAAGTGCCCTGTAGGCAAGTGGTTAAAAGCCTAGGTCGGGATAGATGTAGTAACTTCACAACTGTTTTGTAAAAACCAACACAAAAAAAACACAGTATAAGTATCTGAATGTATTCTTATATTAAAGAATAGGAGAGGATGGAAGTGCACTGTGAGTCAATCAGAGCTCTATTGCATTATTCAGTGCTGTCAGTCTAACACTGACAGCTTGCTGACAGGGACAGGATCACTGTTACTTTAAAGCCAGGAGCTGGCTGAAGAAAACAGGTTCATGATCTCCTGTGAACTTGTTTTAAACACTTCAGTCTCTGGACATGCAATGTATGTCCATAGAGCCAAAAGGTTAACTTGTTTATTCATTTACTGGCTTTGAAATTAAAGCAATATTTTAGGTATTTGACAGTGATCACAGTTTTACCACTGTATTACCTGATTCCCACCATTTGCCCCATCACTAGTCCAAAGGTAATAAAAACAGCAGAGGACTGCTGCACTGTGAGCCAATCAGAGCTCTACTGCATTAATCAGTGCTGTCAGTCTAACACTGATAGCTTGCTGACAGGAACAGGATCACTTTTACATTAAAGCCAGGAGCGGGCTGAAGAAAACAGGTTCAAGCTCTCCCGTGAACTTGTTTTAAACACTTCAGTCTCTGGACATACAACGTATGTCCATAGAGCCAAAAGGTTAAAGTGATACTAAATCCAAGACCCTGCATTCACTATACCTGATCTCCCACAGTACACACAACATGGAAATGCAATTATTTTAGTAATATAAACTGCTAAATACTTTTTCTCATCAGCAGTTAGAGCAGTCTTGTGACTTCAGCAGAGCACTAGTTAAAGCTTGTTGGATGAGCTTTCTGCTCTAGGAGGATGTGAAAGCTCTGACCCTCTGTCTAGACAGTGCTGATTGGCCCTGTGCTGATCACATGCACCCTCCCAAGAAAAAAACCTCTCTAGCAATACACACCAAACTGAGCATATGCATGTGACCACGGGTTCATTCTGTATCAGGCGGTGATTTCAACAAGAGGGTCAGAGAAGAAAGGATCAAACAGCCTTTTTACACAATGCAGAGGATTAACCCCTTAGGTTCCACAGTGAGTATAACAAGCATTCTTTACTGCATATACAGACTGAGTTTACTGTTGTGGGTTTAGTAACACTTTAACATGTGTATTCGTTTACTAGCTTTGAAATTAAAGCAATATTTTAGGTATTTCACAGTGATCACAGTTTTACCACTGTATTACCTGATTCCCACCACTTGCCCCATCACTAGTCCAAAGGCAGTAAAAACAGCAGAGGACAGAGCTACTGTACCACGGAGCTTCTTAGGGGCACTTTCTCCAAGGTACATAGGCTGGACATTCATGCTGACACCTGAAAAGGAGATGATAAAAAAAGTTTTTTTTTTAATTTTTAGAAACAAAACCTGTATATATACAGTGGGGCAAAAAAGTATTTAGTCAGCCACCAATTGTGCAAGTTCTCCCACTTAAAAAGATGAGAGAGGCCTGTAATTGGCATCATAGGTAGACCTCAACTATGAGAGACAAAATGAGAAAACAAATCCAGACAATCACATTGGCTGATTTGGAAAGAATTTATTTGCAAATTATGGTGGAAAATAAGTATTTGGTCACTATCAAAAGTTCATCTCAATACTTTGTTATTTATCCTTTGTTGGCAATGACAGAGGTCAAACGTTTCCTGTAAGTCTTCACAAGGTTGGCACACACTGTTGCTGGTATGTTGGCCCATTTTTCCATGCAGATCTCCTCTAGAGCAGTGATGTTTTGGGGCTGTCGCTGGGCAACACGAACTTTCAACTCCCTCCAAAGGTTTTCTTACGTAGCCACTCCTTTATTGCCCGGGCGGTATGTTTGGGATTATTGTCATGTTGCAAGACCCAGCCACGTTTCATCTTCAATGCCCTTGCTGATGGAAGGAGGTTTGTACTCAAAATCTCACGATACATGGCCCCATTCATTCTGTCCTGTACATGGATCAGTCGTCCTGGTCCCTTTGCGGAGAAACAGCCCCAAAGCATGATGTTGCCACCCCCATGCTTCACAGTAGGTATGGTGTTCTTTGGATGCAACTCAGCATTCTCTCTCCTCCAAACACGACGAGTTGTGTTTCTACCAAACAGTTCTATTTTGGTTTCATCTGACCATATGACATTCTCCCAATCCTCTTCTGGATCATTCAAATGCTCTATAGCAAACTTCAGGCGGGCCCGGACATGTACTGGCTTAAGCAGGGGGACACATCTGGCACTGCAGGATCTGAGTCCCTGGCGGCGTAGTGTGTTACTGATGGTAGCCTTTGTTACGTTGGTCCCAGGTCTCTGCAGGTCATTCACTAGGTCCCCTCATGTGGTCCTGGGATTTTTGCTCACCGTTCTTGTGATCATTTTGACCCCACGGGGTGAGATCTTGCGTGGAGCCCCAGATCGAGGGAGATTATCAGTGGTCTTGTATGTCTTCCATTTTCTAATTATTGCTCCCACAGTTGATTTGTTTCACACCAAGCTGCTTGCCTATTGCAGATTCAGTCTTCCCAGCCTGATGCAGGTCTACAATTTTGTTTCTGGTGTCCTTCGACAGCTCTTTGGTCTTCACCATAGTGGAGTTTGGAGTGTGACTGTTTGAGGTTGTGGACAGGTGTCTTTTATACTGATAACAAGTTCAAACAGGTGCCATTGATACAGGTAATGAGTGCAGGACAGAGGAGCCTCTTAAAGAAGAAGGTACAGGTCTGTGAGAGCCAGAAATCTTGCTTGTTTGTAGGTGACCAAATACTTATTTTCCACCATAATTTGCTAATAAATTCTTTCCAAATCAGCCAATGTGATTGTCTGGATTTGTTTTCTCATTTTGTCTCTCATAGTTGAGGTCTACCTATAATACCAATTACAGGCCTCTCTCATCTTTTTAAGTGGGAGAACTTGCACAATTGGTGGCTGACTAAATACTTTTTTGCCCCACTGTACATATTAGGAGTTGTATTACATATGACAGTTTTTGCACCTAAATCAAATCGTGCAGCTTACATATAAATGTATTACATAGTAAAAGAACAGTACATATCATACACTATGAAGATAATAAAAGAGAAAGCAGAATTAAAAATAAGCTTTATGCCATCTGTAAAATGTGCTCTGCTTGGGGTGTCTTGATTCCAAGAAGGACGACTAATTCTTACAAGGGTTAGGTTTATTTACAAACAGGGATAAAACTACATAATATTTACAAATAAGGAATTGGGGTAATATACAATAGGTAGGGAGAAGGACTGGGGAAAGGAAAGAGATCTATAAGCTCCTATACACACATCTTCCCACATTCTCTTCTATTCTCTCATGCCAGGGCCCTTTTTGTCCAGACTTGAGACTCACACCCCCAGCTAGGGGTTGGTAATTGCAGTCAGTGATATCTTGAACAAAAGGTCAAAAAGCTCCTTCCTGTCCCAAGCTTATAATTACATTCCTGTTCAGATGTCCACATGGTCTTCCAGCCCAGGAAGTAAACTGTCATTGTAGCCAGATCTGCAGGGGGTCATAGCAGTCAGAATGTCCACTCCACTCTTCCTCCTTCAGTAACTACACTGTCCTGGTGTGGGGGCTGGGGTCTTACTAGTCAAATGTTAATTAACTTGTGTATTTACCTAGCCCCTGTTGAAGTTGGCTAGCTGTGCAAATGTCCATATTTTAGTTCATGTCCAAACTGCAATTATATCAATTTGTATCGAATATTACACCATCACAAAACATTTGCTATTTAAAGTCACCAATGCCATTCCTCTAACCCATCTAAGAGGACCTGGAAAATCAAACATTTGAAGGTAAATTCAATTCTTACACAGTCTCTATATACATTGACATCTTCCTTCATCTCCAGCCAATTGCAATAGACTTTAGCTTCAAAAAGCAAAATTATTGCCTGCAGTGCAAGTGCCACAACAATGTATCCCTGTTCGTTTGCTTTAGTTAATCAGGTCCATTCTAAGAATGTCTAAATGCAATAGACAAGTGATTCACCTTTAACACTATTTTTTTTAGCAGCCTTTCTCAACCAGGGTGCCCAGGCACCCTGGGGTGCCTTGAGGTTTCTTCAGGGGTGCCTTGGCAAAATGTCTAAAAATTGCCCAGAACTTGTATATAAGCCAGCAGGTAAAACAAGCCTGCCTTTTAGTTACACAAAGTCACAGGTTTTCATTGTGCACCATTACAACCATCTAGCCACTAGCATCCTGACAACCAATGATGTCATCAGTTGATAAGGAGAATGTCAGTTGCCTTGCACAGCCTCCTATTTGGACCCTCCCCCCGCCCTTCTCCATCAATGCTGGGGTCACATTAGCTCAGTGTTGGATAAAAACTGAGAGAGAAGAGAAACACTGGAATACTGATCAGTACCAGTGTGCAAAAGTGTATTTGCTTTAGAAGAATAAATCACCTCTAATTTTGGGTGTCCTACATGTGTGGATGTTATATAAAACTATTAGAATAGTTTTTCACATTTCAGAATGGGGTGCCTCAAGACTGTCCATAATTTTAAAGGGGGCCTCAAGACTGTCCATAATTTTAACCACTTCCCGACTGGCCGTTGCATATAAACGGCCGGACGGTGGCACTGCAGGGTCGGGTGGCCGTTTATGAACGGCCTCCCCGCACCCTGCTTGTGCGCACTCCCTGGGAGCGCGCAGCACCGCGATCCACTGATTGGCCAATCAGTGATCACAAGCAAAGTAGTAAGCAAGATGTCACTTCTGACATCACTGCTTACTACGTGTGAAATCTGTGAATGATCACAGAGGTCACATGGTACAAGGCTATTCACAACAGCCTTGTACCATGTGACAAGCTGTGACCAATCACAGCTCACTCAGTACTTCTCAATGAGTGCAGGAATGCACACAGAGAGAAAGAGAAATGATTGCTTTTACATCCTATATGGGTGTAAAAGCAATCAGTGTAAAAAAAAAAAAAAAAAAAATCTTCATCACCCCCCCACAAGTAGTACAGTGTCACCATGGTGACACTGTACTGCTAGGGTGACAGTATGAAAAAAATAAAAATAAATAAAAAATAATAATATAAAAAAATTAAATAAAAATGTAAAAAAAAATGTTTAAAAATTATAATTTTTGGTTATAAACTAATTTTTTTTTTTTTTTTTACTAAAAAGATAACGGAATAAATTTTGGCAAAGATTTATGATGAAATATTATTTATTTGCAAAATTTTGTAAAAAAAAAACACTTTTGTTCAAAATTTTTGGACATTTTCATTTACATAGCAAAAAAAATAAAAATCCCAGCGGTGAATAAATACCACCAAAATAAAGCTTTATCTGTCTCAAAAAAATGGTAAAAAATTAATTTAGGTACAGTGTTGCATGACTGCGCAATTGTCATTCAAAGTGTGATAGCGCTGAAAGCTGAAAATTGCCCTTGTCAGGAAGGGGGTAAAAGTGTCCGGTCTGGAAGTGGTTAAAGGGGGCCTCAAGACTGTCCATAATTTTAAAGGGTGCCTCGGGACGGTCCATAATTTTAAAGGGTGCCTTGACTGAAAAAAAGGTTGAGCAACACTGTTTTAGAGTATTGTGACAGACATTATGAACACACACTGATAGCTTTACAAACACTGCTTGCAACTCAGAGGAGGAAATTAGCAAATCTGGAGCAGACAAAATCTGGAGAAACTGTGCATGGCAATCAGTCAGCTTCTACCTTCAGATTGGTCCATTAAGCTTTGAAGATGAAAAATAGAAGCTGATTGGTTACTATTCACAGCTGTTCCAGATTCTGTCTCCTCCAGTTTTGAAAAATTGCCCACTGCATGGTTTGTGTTATACATAGCTAGAAAATGGAATGGTTAATATTCTATGCAAATTAAAAGAAAATTGTCTTTACATACACTTCAATGCAATGGCTGAGGGTTGACATGGGAGTCGCACAAGTTGTAAATGTTTTTTATTTTTCTGCTTTTTTAACATTTACAATGCATGCCGAGCACACATTCAAATGGTAATATGTTGTTGTAATACATTGTTTATAGGCTGTTTTAGTAACGAGTGGAATGTGTCAGGGCCATCCTTTCCAGCTCTATTATATCACAGACAAAAAACATAATTTTTCTCAAGAATATGGATTTATGCCTAGTGCACTGTGCAGGTACAAGCAAACCACAGACAAATACAGAGGAGGAGAGGGTAGTGACTATTACTATGTCCCAGCAATCGCATAATAATGTCGAACGTCTGTTGCTGGAATACAACATATGACAAATATTGTAATTGAAATAAAGTGATTGTTAACCCATATTTTATAATAACAAACATGTTATACTTACCTGTACTGTGCAAATGTTTGGACAGAGCAGCCCCGTTCATCCTCTTCTAGGGTCTCCCACTAGTGATCCTGGATTTTTTCCCCCTGCAGAATGCCCACCGTAGTAAGCCACTTGCTCTGGGGTCACTCAAGTGGGCTCACTCCCAAGCCAACTCTGTGTGTCTGCAGCCCTGCCCAACTCCATCCACACTGGCTGTGATTGACAACAGTGGGAGCCAATGGCTCCTGCTCCTGTCTCTAGGCATATGAGGAGTCAGAGAGCAGAGAGAGCCACAACTCTCGTGCACAGCGCTGGAATGCGATCGGGCTCATGTAAGTAAAAGGGGACTAAAGGAGAACTGCACTCAGATTTTTTACCTTAATGAATTATCTTCATTAAAGTAAAAAAAACACTTTAAGTAACCTAGTAACAAGAATTCAACAAAAAAAACACCACATGATCATATTATTAGATGCTGGTGAGAGCAGACAAAGAATAGCTTCTCAAGTTTGGTCCTCTTTTACATACAAATATATATTGTTTCAGAGGATTGTTACCTAAACAATTTAGTGGGTAGCTGCTTAGGAACGCAGTAAAGAGGTTTATGTACTTCAAATTTAGGCCATCATGGACTGAACCTTTCCAGTCATGTTCTGACATACCAATATTGCTTTTTCTCCACCTTTGCATGTCATGTCATAAAATATTCACCTGAATTCACACCAGCTAATATTCTTCCCAGTATGATCATCTCAAAAGACTTTGCAAGCTGACTGAAACCACAGAGGACTGCTGACAGGACAATGAAAATGTTATTGAAGAGGAGAGACTTCTTTCTGTGGAGAGAATATACAGTTGTGTTCAAAATAATAGCAGTGTGTTGAAAAAAGTGAATAAAGCTCAAAATCCTTCTAATAGCTTTTATTTCCATACACACAAATGCATTGGGAACACTACACATTCTATTCCAAATCAAAACATGAAGAAAAATATATCAAATTTGTGTTGTTCCTCTAAAAAAAATTGAAGAAAAGTGAATTAGACTGTTAAAAAAAATAGCAGTGTTTGTATTCTTCTTTACAAACTCAAACATTCACTATATAAACTGAAAAATGTTTGAAGATTTTGCTTTCCTTTGAATCACTTAATTAATATTTTAGTTGTATAAGCACTGTTTCTGAGAACTGCTGTACATCTGTGTTGCATGGAGTCAACCAACTTCTGGCACCTGTGAACAGGTATTCCAGCCCAGGATGATTGGACTACATTCCACAGTTCTTCTCTACTTCTTGGTTTTGCCTCAGAAACTACATTTTTGATGTCACCCCACAAGTTTTCTATTGGATTAAGATCCGGGGATTGGGCTGGCCACTCCATAACGTCAATCTTGTTGGTCTGGAACCAATATGTTGCATTTTACTGGTGTGTTTGGGGTTGTTGTCTTGTTGGAACACCCATTTCAAGGGCATTTCCTCTTCAGCATAAGGCAGCATGACCTCTTCAAGTATTCTGATGTATTCAAACTGATCCATGATCCCTGGTATGCGATAAATAGGCCCAACACCGTAGTATGAGAAACATCCCCATATCATGATGCTTGCACAACCATGCTTCACTGTCTTCACAGTGTACTGTGGCTTGAATTCAGTGTTTGGGGGTCGTCTGACAAACTGTCTCCAGCCACTAGACCCAAAAAGAACAATCTTACTTTCATCAGTCCACAAAATGTTGCGCCATTTCTCTTTAGGCCAGTCAATGTGCTCTTTGGCAAATTGTAACCTCTTCAGCACGTCTTTTTTTCAACAGTGGGACTTTGCGGGGGCTTCTTGCAGATAGCTTGGCTTCACATAGGCGTCTTCTAATTGTAACAGTACTCACAGGTAACTTTAGACCTTCCTGGAGCTGATTGTTGGCTGAGTCCTTGTCATTTTGGCTATTCTTCTATCCATTCGAATGGTAGTTTTTCACTTTCTTCTACATCTTTCAGGTTTTGGTTGCCATTTTAAAGCATTTGCGATCATTTTAGCTGAGCAGTCTATCATTTTCTGCACTTCTTTATCTGTTTTCCCCTCTCCAATCAACTTTTTAATCAAGGTACGCTGCTCTTCTGAACAACGTCTGGAACGACCCATTTTCCTCAGAATTTCAGAGAGAAATGCACTGTAACCAGCATATACAACATTTGCTGCCTTCCTTCCTTAAATAAGGGCAATAATTGCCACCTGTTTTTCAAAGAATGAATGACCTCACTAATAGAACTCCACACTGCTATTATTTTGAATATCAAATCCCTAATATGAAATTTGTATAATGTTACGGTTTTAACTGTATTTGTAATATTGTTTATCCACTGTTGTGATCTCAACACACCTCTGCTACATTGCAGATACAGGAAAATCACTCTGCGACTCCCTGATTAAGATTTCTGGAGGTGTAGAGGAGAAGTGGAAAGCTGCATTGCTGAACCAAGAAAGAAGTGTCACCTGTCATTTTGTGCAGGAGAGACTGGCTACGCAGAACTACATTTTTTAATAGTATGTGAAATGTTTATGCATTTCAGTTATCGGTTTCCTGGTGTTTGACTAAGGGCCCATTTACACTAGGAACTACATGTGACATGCAGTTCTGTGCAGTTCAATTTCAGCCCTATTCATTCTGAATGGGCTGAAATCGCACCACACCAAAAGTAGTGAATGCACTACTTTTTTAAATGAATGGCAACCATACTTTTGTACCATGTGATCTGGTGAGGGCTGGTATGGGCAAAAGCACTGCATGTGTGACCTGTGTTTGGGGTGTCATTAACTTTGAACTGACCCTTGTCCACATTCTAGAGTGAGCAGGCCCTTAAAGTATAGCACAGACTGTAATCTAACAAGTCGGATGTAAAATTTAAAGGCCCCAAATTCTGGCTACTAAATCCGAATTGTAAGCAACACCCAGCTTGACAAAAGTTGATTTAAAAATTGACTGAGCCTAATGAAAAATGATTGACTCAAACAGAAACTGGATCAAACAGATGCAGTCACTACTCAACAGCAACAGTCATGCATGGCAGCTATAAGCTCTGCATAACGAAAGCAAGTCCTCATTATTAAGATGCAATCTCAGATTTTAAAAGCAATGCTACTTAAAATGCTACATTACCGTCCTAGCTTGATAGCCATTGGACCGGCAAGCAGTGCTCCTAGGAATCCACCCAGTGGGTACACAGACACTATTATGGACCAGACCAGGGTGATGATCCAACTGTCCAATTTTGATCCGCTGCGTTCCAGCCATGTTTCATTCACAAATTTCTGAATATACTGTATTAGACGTGAGAAGAACATATTAGGTATCAAGACATTTGCATTTTACAGACTACAAAAATAAAGCTGTAACTTCAAAAAAACTAGCTGTACTTTGCACTCTTGCAAGTGGGTGCTATTTTCCCAATAAGCTAAAGCTCTCACTCGTTACATACAGCAGCCCAAGCTTCTTCATTTTTCTATTCTTCCCCACCTGAAACCTTAAAGTCTAAGTCCAGCAAAACTTTTTTTTGTTTGTTTTTGGATAGAATGGGGAAGGATTAGAGTCCCTGTGAGGTTCAATTGTTTTCTTCTGGGGCTCCATTAGAGAGATTTCACCCCCCCCCCCCCCCCCCCACCACCACCACCACCACAACTACCACCACCACTAACCTTACTGCTACGGTGACAACGGTTCGCCAGACAGGAAGTGAGGGAGAATCTGCAACAGGGACACAGCAAAAAAAAAAAAAAAGAAGCTGACAGGGATTCTAGCCTATCCCCACTTATTAAAATTAATGAATTCTAAATGTAATTTAGAAAACAAAAGGTGTGCCAAAACAATTAACAAATCCAGAGAGATAGCATGTTCAAGTATTATTATTACAGTGGGAAAAATAATTATTTGATCCCCTGCAGATTTTGTAAGTTTGCCCACTTACAAAGAAATGAAGGGTCTATAATTGTTATCATAGGTGTATATTAAATGGTAGAGACAGAATATAAACAAAAAATCCAGAAAAACACATGATATGTTTTAAATTGAATTGCAGTTCAGCGAGTAAAATAAGTATTTGATCCCCTACCAACCAACAATAATTCTGGCTCCCACAGACTGGCTCATGATGTGCTCATGTGGTACACAGATTAGTCCTGTCAATTTAAGAAGGTGCTCCTAACAACAACTCGTTATGTGTATAAAAGACACCTGTCCACAGAATCTCTTTCTTCCATTCAAAACTCACTACCATGGGCAAGACCAAAAAGATGTCAAAGGACATCAGGGACAAAATTGTAGACCTGCACAAGGCTGGAATGGGCAAAACGACCATCAGCAGGAAGCTTGGTGAGAAGGAGACAATTGTGGGAGCGATTATTTGCAAATGGAAGAAATACAAAGTAACCATCAATTGCCGTCAGTCTGGAGCTCCATGCAAGATTTCACCTCATGGGGTAAAGATGATCATGAGAAAAGTGAACAATCAGCCCAAAACTAAACAACAGGAGCTTGTGAATGATCTCAAGGCAGTTGGAACCACAGTCACTAAACAAATCATTGTAACACCAGGGATGTTGAATTTACATCGCGGACAAGCAGCAGGGCTCACCTGTCAGGTGGAAGCATTCAGGTCGCCAATTGCTTCCACACAGTGCCAGCCTCTCTCCCTGTGTGTTCTCCCCCCACACGTTTTCTCCCCACCGCTTGAGGTTTCCCAGGCTTCCCTTGCCCATTTGCGGGCCCGGGACTGGCTCACTGGCGTCGACTAGAGAGGAGGGAGGAGAGCGGACCCATCAGCTCCTCTCCCCTTTGTGTCCTGACCTGGAAGTGACGTTATGATGTCACTTTAAGGTCCACGTTGACAGATTCATGGAGGCCGGGAAAGAATGTGATGCAGTGCGATGTGCACTGCATTACATTCAGTGAAGCAGAGGGAAGACATGCAGGGTCTTTTAGACCCTGGATATCTTAATAAAGAGAACCTGTCAGAAAAAAAAAGATAAAAAACATTTTTTGTTGTAAAAATTGAAAGTTACACCCAAGTACATAACATCCCCCCCCCCCCCAAAAAAAAAATTGAGACGCCCCCCCCACCCCCACATATACACACGTGCAAATGTAAAAACAAACTCTAGGGCGCCTACATATGAAACCGTCAATTGCGATGTACATGTTACATATCACCGCACATGCTAGGATGGGAGCAGTAATTCTAGCACCAGACCTCCTCTGTAACACTATACTAATGACCTATAAGGGGCTTTAAAAGTGTCGCCTATAGAAAATATAGGGTACTGAAGTTTGTCGCCATTTCACGAGCGCACACAAATTTAAGGTTTGATATCTACTGGTGCAACCTCGTCTTTTATATTTTACAAAAAAAAATGTATTGCTTTTTTTGTGCCCTAAAATGAACTTACTTGTATTATTTACAGAAATTTAGCAGTAATATTATGCCACATAAAAAATTGGAACTACCACTATTTTATTCTCTAGGGTCTCTGCTTTCAGAAAATATATCATATTTGCCGGTTTTATGTAATCTTCAGGCCTAAAATTATTTTTTAAATGTGCAAGAAGTGCAAAAAACAGCTCTGGCAGCGAAAGGGATAAAGGATACGCCCAACTCTCCCCACCTGATGAGCAGCCAATCGATGCTCAATACTCTCTGCAAGGTCTCTCCTCTCCCTGCTAGTCCCCGGGTGCAGTGCTGGAGACAGGCAGGGAGGGGAGAAGGAGATAAACAGTGCAATGTTAAAATTATTACACGTTTAAGTCGCCATAGAGCTGCTTTTGTTTTTAAAAGCCCCAGACATTCTAAAAATCCCCTTGGATTTAAATACGGTTTTGGTTAAAATGTATTTTTTTTATCTGGACAAGTAGATTGTCATGAGGGATTGGGACACCGATTTAGTCCCTGCACAAGTAATTCTTTCAAAAATTTCCACACCCCTGAACACAATACGCCACCATTGAAATCCTTCAGTGCCCGCAAGGTCCCCCTTCTCAAGAATTGATTTTTGGTTGATATTCTGTCTTTATTATTTAAAATACACCTATGATAGAAATTTTAGACCTTTAATTTCTTTGTAAAGTGGGAAAACCTACAAAATCTGCAGGGGATGAAATTGAGGGGATGAGCTATAATACAAATCAAGATGAGGTCTAGGAGGGCTCTGCTCGTGAGAGCTTACAATCTAAAAGAGAGGGGCAAATTATACAAAAAGGTAGTAACTGCAAAAATTCAGTAGTTAGGTTAAAGCAGTATTAAACCTAAAAGCAAACATTTACTATATTGCAGCTTACCAATTCTGAGGTGTGATGGCTGCATTAGTGCCCTTTTTTAGGCTTTCTTTCTTCTATTTTCATCTTTCATTCAGCCAGCAAGTCTGCTGTTTTTCAGAAGCTCAAGCTCTCCAGAAGAATGCATTAGTTTACATGAATGAGACAATCCATTTACCACTGGCAGAGGTGATTAATATGATCAGCTTTTATTTATTCATGTAAAACCTTTATCTCAAGAGGAAAAAACAGTTTGCTGTAACGGATTACAAAGAGTTAGCTGGAGTTTCACTTCTCTTTGTTAGTGTTTCTAAATCTACTAAAACATTTAACACTCCCACCAAGACTAACAATGCTGCTGTCTGCTGTGTCCTGTGCTCATTTCTCCAGAGTGGTGTCTCACTAATACAGGAGGTGTGTTATTGGCCAGACCATCAGGTGAAAAAAGAGGTAAAAAAGCCAAAAGAAAAGAAAACTGATACAGCAACCACATCTAATGACTGGTAAGCTGCAATATAATATATTTTTGGTTTTGGGTTTAATACCGGTTTAAGGCAGGATAGGCTTCCCCAAAGAGATAAGTGTTCAGGGATCTCTAAAGGTAGACAGAGTAGGCTATAGACAGGCGGAGGTAGGGTATTCCAGAGGATCAGAGAGGCTTTGGAGATGTCCTTGATTGCATGGTGTGCATTGGGAAAAAAAGCAGTGCCAAAAGCAATACATCACATTGCTCACTTTTTTTTCTTTTTAAACAAACTTTAGTGAAATGTCACATGGTGACATTTCATGAAGTTCTTTTGGCCACAAGGCAATGCGAGACAGGGGGTGTGCACCAGCCAGGTAGCAGACAGGGCAAGTTGTCACTTCTCCATACCTTGTACAAATACATACTCCACTGTGGCGTCTGCTGCACTTTTTGCCTCTGGCATAAGGAGACCAGCTAAGGCAGAGAACACAGCAGGGAAGTACAACAACATCACTGCATACTTCCAGGTCCATGCAAAACCTGACTGACAGATGAGGAGCTGCACAGTAATTTTGGAAAGGGGATGACTTCTGGGGGTAAGATCCCTTCAGCACAGAATGAATAGGGGAGGGGGCGCAGCCTGACAACATTGTCATGAGTGCTGGATGACCTTTTCCCAGCACTGCCTGAAGGTGATCATGAGATCTAGAGAGCAGGAGGTCTTGAGAGCAACGAGGAGGACTATATGGGTGATCTAGTCTTGAGATAAGATTAGTGATGTAGATCAGGACAGTGCTTTTTATGTTGTTATTGTTTTGAATTTTATTTGTTGAAGCCAGTGGAAGGATAGGAAAAGCGGGAGGGCATAAACTAATCAGCTGGAAAGTTGGAGGAGTCTGGTAGCAACATTCATGACAGACTGAAGAGGGGAAAGCCTGAGTAGAGGTAGGCCAATGAGGAGGGAGATGTAATAGTCGATGCAAACAGAACTCAATGTTTCTGTAAAAGCAATATCCCATTCTGACCCTTGCTAAGGTTTTTTTAACGTGGGTAACTTTATGACCAATAAGTGGAAGAGGACAGTGACAAGCTCAATATTTACAGGAAAAGTGAAGGCCACCTATAGCCACGTGGTTTTCAGTAAAGGTACCCTCTGCTTTATATTTTCTTATCATATGCTCAGTTTAAGTTGTCCAAGTTTGTGACAAATTTAGTTTAAAAGAAAATATGAAAGTAACTTTTTAGTAACTGCATACTCACAGTTGTGGGGGCATTGATTATTGTAAGATTATATCCATATTGAAAGGTTCCCCCAATGCCGGCAGCACACATAGTAAGAAGCAGCACCCATCCCTGAAACACAGAAGTAAAAGCAAGGTGACTTAATACGTTGGGTATTGCAGAAATGCAGCATACAGTCAGTTATCTGAAATATCCACTTAAATACACTTGAGCAGTAGAGCCCGAACCAGCATCTGCTTGCTTGGGGTGTACCTTAAGTCACTTCTAATGGAGAGCTCTGAAAATTTTTGCTATATGTTCTATGGCTCTGGTCACCTAAGCCGAAAATCTAGTTAGATCTGGATACTGACCAAATCATCGGCACCTGAGCAATCAACGCTGGCTAAGGCTTCACTGCCCAATTGTTTTTACTCAGATATGTCTAATAAATTGCTAACAACATAAAATAAGACATTTTAAAGTTATTGCAAACCTTAAAGTGTATCTCTAAGCAAAACTCATTTTTTTTTTCGTTTTGGAAAGAATCGGGACAAGTTAGACCCTCTAAGAAGTTTTTATTCCTGTCTGTGCACACAGTAGGGGCATTCACCTCAACTCTGATCATCATTTTCTTTGAGAAAGAAAGCGAGGAAATATCCAAAATTCCCAGAACAAGAGGTGTGAGGAAATCTAGAAACCTGTCCCAGGTCCAACTCTCTAAGTCAGGAATTTCCCTCACTTCAGGATATTTCCTCTATCTTCGTGTTGTGTCTCTGAGACAAGAAATTAAAGGGAAATTTTCCCAGTGGTAAGCAGACAGTAAAAAAAAAAAAAAAAACTAGGCAGGTGTTGTATTAATTCCCTGCTCTATCCAAAACTACAAAAACCTGTTTGAATCAAACAGAAGTCCCTCAACACGGACCCTTATTTTACGTAATCTCCTTGCTGGGCATATTTGAATACTACATTCTTAGATAAATGCCAATAACTCTACCATATATTTCTATAGACATGCCCAGAGCTGGTATCAGAGAAGGTCTGAATATCCACCTGGCAAAACATGGAGAATGTGTGAACAGAAGACCAGGTAGCAGCCTTGGAAATCTGTACTGAGAGATTCAATAGATATCTACAAAGGGTGGCTGCCTCCCCATTCTTGAGACCATAAGCTTGGACCATGGTCTGTTTGCGCCACTGAGAAGTAAGTTCCTCTTTAGGAGGACAATCAGAAATAACAAAGAGAAAGTTAGTGTTTCTAATGGAAGAAGTGGTTGCAAGACAGACTTAGTATGTCTTCCCTTAGTATGTGCACTACATCCAGGCAAAGGAGGGAGATCTCCTTCTAATGAACTGTGGCCAGACAGAGGGATGGAAGAACTGAAATGTACTAACTATCTTTACGGGATAAGGCAATCAGCTCAGATAGTGGAAAGGGGAATACCCCCAAATGGTTCAAAGGGTGGTTTTTGAAGCGCTGAGAGTCCCAGACCACATGGAAAAACCCTGCACAAAGGCCTTAAAGAATGGGAGGCTAGTGGTCTCTGGAACAAGCTCTCAGGTGAATCTGAAATCTGTCCCTTGATGACAATCAAGGACAACTGTTGATCCAGGCCCATTTACAGAAGAGCAAAGACTCATAGAAAATGTCCTGTCACTTGCTTCTCAGAAAGTAAAGAATGCCTTCTATGTGCAATGTTAAACCTTACAAGAAATATACTTCCTAGTCTTTAGTATCATAGGGATCACTGATTCAGAGAAGTCTCTGTCCATCAGGACCTGAGCTTCAACATCCATTTCATTATAAGTCCTCAACTGTGAAGCAGGATGGTAAACTGAGACAGAAGTTCTAGATAAGGGATAAAGGAAGAGCCAAAAGTCTGATGAGATCAGAGTATTACATCTGTCTGGGCCAGTCCAAAACTATTAGGATCACCAGAAAGCCCGTCATTTCGATTCTGTGGAAAAGAGGAAGGGGTTTCAAGGAAGGGAAGGCATACATCAGGCTGTAGTGGTCCCAGAGAGCCACCAGACAGCATGCACTACTTCTGCCTGAGGATCCCTGTATCTGGAGAAAAAAACCTGTCCAGTTTGTTGTTGAACCTCAAGACCAGAAGGTACATATATGGTGCCCCCCACATTTGACACAGGTTCTGTAACACCTACGGGTGTAGGGACCCCTACCTTTGGTCCAGGTGTTGCTAGCTGAGGTACTCTGCCTTACAATTGTTCATGCCTGGGATGTAAATGTCAAACCATGCTGGAACATAAAGTTCTGTCCAGGTCAGGATCCTTTCCACCTTTTGCCGCGCAAAACGTCTGGTTCCTTTCTGATATTTGATGTCTGCCATGCCAACTGGCATCCAACTGAATCCTGATCAACTGACCCACCAATTGGGGTGTCCAGTGTTGCAGGGACCAATAAAATTGTCATAAATTCCAGAATATTAACCAGGAGATAAGATTCTTCTTACATCCAAGCTCCTTGCGTCAACATGGTATCCAGGACTCCACCCTTGCCCAACAGGCTGGCATCCACCGTGAAGACCTTCCATGAGACAGGAAGAAAGGACTTACCCAGCTCCAGTTAGATCCCGGGATCAACCTGGTCTTTGCTATCAGGTGAATCAGCCTGTCCAAGGAATGGACTGATTTGTTCCACAATGGCAGGATAATGTGCTGAAGGAGTCTGGAGCAGCACACATTATTAACCATAATCTGAGCTGATTGCTCCCTCATTTGGAGTTTGTCCAGATATCCCACAATAGGCATGACTTGGGAGTGCAGCAAAGCTATCACAGTGTTCAGCACCTTGGTGAATACCTGAGATGCAGAAGCTGGGCCAAATGGCAGGGCTACAAACTGGAAGTGCTAAAGACCCACAGAACAGAGACGGAATTGTTGATGGTCTAGAAAAAATGTGAACATGCAAGTATGCTTTCTTGATGTTCACAGAGGCTAAAATGTCACCCTGATGGAGGGAGGCTATGACAGGCCTGGTGGTTTCCATGGGTCTTCTTGGACTGAACCCTAGGCTTCTCGCCCCTGGTTTCTAGGAGAACTCTGAAGGGATACAGAACCTTTAGGGCACGGTGCAAGAAACCATGATCCAGGGCCTTTTACTCCTGTTGCAAGACCCTTTACTACGGTCCCACAGTGGGACCCTTTCACATGTTCTACAGCGGGTCCTTTCTGTCTTCTTGGAGCCCCAAGGTGGCAGCACGCCAAGGCCTAGTCGCAAGTGCAACCTTTGCAACCCTGGTAGTTCCGCCTCTGGTCTCAGTTGTTTTTCAATTTTGTTATTTTTTCATTTTTGTTTTTTACCATTTCATTTTCTTTATTTAATTTTTTTACAATTTTTTTTAGGAGCCCTAATCGGGAGCTTTGGTGAAATATCAGGGGTCTAAACTGACCTCTGATGTTTCACCTTTTATAAAAGACAAAGGAGATTGAGGACACAGCCCTCTCTGCAGCCTCTGCATTAACTGCACTGAAAGAATAGTTGAGAATACCTCTGTACAGAGCTTCCCATTCATTCACAAACTGAAGCTTAGTAAACACTGTTAACTATGAAATATAGAAAGTGCGGCTCTAAAAAAATTGTGAATGATATTATAGTGAAATAATAAAGTGCAAAGTCAATCTGACATACAGCAAAAAATGATCGGCGGAACAGTCATGTGCAACATATAAAGATCAATACATTATGCAATAAATCATTCAATAAATGTGGAACAGTAAAGTGTAGCATATAAAGTGGGAATATATAAAGTCCATATAACAGTGGAGTAAAAACTAAAAATGTCTGCTAGGATATAGATACGGCAATCACGGTAGAATACTGTGAAGTGATCCAATAGGGAATCCACCACCTCTGTCAGATGTACACTCACCAGACATCTACTGGTAAACAGCATGTAAGCACATCTCATCTGGACACAAATAGCAATGAAGCCTCTGCATAGAATGCTCAGTCAAGGGCAAAACGCATAGGGACCCTCTCCTATAAGGCATAGCTCACCACAGGAGCCAGAAATTGTATATAGTCTAGTATTTTATTAAATAATGAATATAAGACAATCCACGTTGAAGAGCAAGTAAAATGAAGGTAAATGGAGTACCAAGATGGCCGCCATTCCGACCTTCGGCAACGGCAGTGCAACATCAGCAATTGCAGCTCCACTGCACTGTTTACTATGCCTCAGTTATAAATGAACAGAGTCATTAATTGGTAGTGATCACTGTACATGACATATTTACCAGCCCCTTTCCCCTGACAACCCCTGACACATTCCCGGCAGCGGCCAGGAGAGCACACAAAGGCCTGGGGTGAGTGGAACCTGGATAGTAGAGGAACTGATCCCCTCCATTTTGCTCCTGCTGAATGCCTGCAGGAGGGAGAGAAGGAGAAGCATGCTTTCAATGGCTGCAGGAGCAAAATAAAGAGTTTGACAAACATGGGTCAGACCACTGCCCTTTTCACATGTGACAAAAGATTGGTCAACCTCACCGCACTGTCACTGATGCAGGACAATATTACTGTCAGCCTTGCCCTGCACAAAGATTTTCCAGCTTGTGAAACCACAATCTAAGTGCCAACAGACTGAGAGCAATTAACCCTTCAAACCCCAAACTGCCGCCAGATTGCTTTGGGCCTATCAACCCAACAACGGCAATGACAATTATGACTTTAAAAAAATGTCTGCAACACACAGGTATGTCCAGAGATTTTACACAACTTTAGTTCTGCATTAGTTCATTAGAGACAATCGTAACACTTTTCAAAATATGGTTTAATAATGAAAAGGTAAAAAAAAAGGTGCAAATAAAGTATTTACGGAAAAAAAAATGTAGTACAAAAGAAACAAAAAAGACATTAACGCAACAGCAAGAAAAACTGAAATTACCTGCAAGTCCTGGTTGGCAGAGTCCAATGAATAAGCAAGACGGTACAGTGGCTCTCAAGTCTTGTTAGGTGCTCCTTGGTTTGGTGTTAACCGAGAGCCCCTAACTGTGGTCGCAGTCTCCTTTTTTCTGGACCTTCGAGGAGGTGTTAATAGAAATGACTTGACCAATCAGGAGGCTGAGGGGTGGCCCATGGTATGTCTCTGTGTTTTATGATCACGTCACAACCC